ACAGAGGAAAGGGCCAGTGGTCCTCTCCTCCTCTCTCTCACCTCTGCTTGATCAGATTCAATCGCAGCTATGAGAATGGAGGAAAAAGTAGCTGGCAACTTCAGTTAATTCGTCATTGTTATTATTGTCCTTGTTTTATTTTGTTTTGTTTTCACCAAACTAAATGTTCTCATGAAGCATGTTGCCTTTTCATCAACGATTAATGTGGGGATGATTTTCCTGTCTGTACATTAGTCCAAAAAAATTTTTTGAAGCAGCTTGAGAAAATATGTAAAGTGGAATAATATATCATAGTAAGTAATTTGAGAGGCTGGGGAAAGGAAAACCTTGAAGTTGGGGTGCAAACACACGAAGGCCTCCCTCAAGCGTTGATACAACAATGCCGGTGGAGCCCCAGTTTCTGTGAGCCTTTTAACAGCCATTGCAGACAGAAATACGTTATTTATTACATGACTCATAGTTTCATAGGGTGAAAATAACCTCCTTGCAGTTTCATAGGGTGAAAATAACCTCCTGGCTCAGTAGAATCCCACATCTCCCTAGTATCAACATTTAAGAGAAGTTTCTTCCATGGGGTATCTTTCGTTATGCACATAACTCCTGGTTGAATCTGCAACTTACAACCCTTTGTTTAATATATTCTCCTCTATATGTTTTGTAAGACAGGGGAGCAAGACATGAGACCAAATGAGTGGGTCTCTGTAAACTAACATGACATTTACAAAACTTTCCTCCCAATATGAGGGGGCAAAAACCAAAACATTCATAACCCTGGGGGTTGTTTTGTTTGGGCATAGGGACCAAGGGAAAGCTTCCTCTTCACCCCTGAAGGTTTACTGAAAAATCAACCATCAAGATTCAATTAATATGAAGAAAGGGCATAACAAATTTTATTTGAATGTGCTGGGGAGGGGCAGTCCATGGGGCGTTATATGTACCAGCCTTACATGTACCAGTCTTATATGTACCAGTTTTATATACCAGTTACATGTACCAGCTACATACCAGTCTTCACAGGGGAGAGGGGAGGTGGGGATTGTAGGCGATTCTATTGAGGGACAGTAAATGATTATTAGGGAATGAGCCTGAGAGGCAGGTGGTATTTTGTGGAAAAGTCTGTCCAGGTGTGATGACCGCCCATTCTCTTTTCTCAGGGAGTTGATCTTTCCTGGTTATTTGATGAGATTCCTAGGGAAGGGATCTAAAGATAATTGCATTCCTTTTAGACAAAAGCTTTCTTAGTTAGATAAGGAAATTCCAGAGAAAGTCCCTCCCTGCCCCTGATTGGGAAGACAAGGTTAGAGGAATCTTCATTTTGAGGATATGCCAAAGTGCATATTTTGGGGAATAGTTTTCTGCACCCCCACATTGGCTAATGAATTGACTTGCCTCTCTTTAAAACATCCCATACAATAAGTCTTTATGTACTCACTGTTATTGATATAAAACCACGGCTTTTTCCTGCTGAGTAGACATAAGACATTTTCACTAACGACTGGAAAAATGTCAACCGAACAGGGAAAACAAATGAAATTAGCACAGTAATATGATTTCTAGACCTCGTGGGAATATAGAACCCTGCTTCTGAGCTGAGATGCATGTCAGCTACCAGTTCAACACATTCGATTTTTCTCATTTTTATAGTAAACTTCCTCAAGTGGAGTCAAACCCCGTGACAACAGACACATGTCCGTGTTTTGTTTTATGTTCCCTCAGCTAGAATTAAGGAGACTGTTTTCCCCTTTAAGTAGATATGGTGGTTAAATAGTTCCCCTCCCCCCACTTTCCAGCAGAAATAGTACGATCCTTTTATTTTCTCTTCAAATTCATTGGAGGCCTAAAGGTCTGGAAAATCACCGTCATGGCTGTCCTCTGGCTCCTTCCCATAAGATTATCCGATATCAGTTCAAAGAGGAGGCAAGGAAAAGACTTATTTATTCCATGTGGGTAGGAAATGTCCTCGGCAAAAGCGCCGAAGCCCTTGGCTGCCCCGGTGACAGGCAGATTCTGGGATGCTTTCCCCTGGACACGAGCCCCTGCTGGAAACCTGAGCCCAGGCTAGACGCCCTGTGAGCGCGCCTGCTGCAATCGCATGCACCAAACCATTGGGCTGGGGAACAATGGCTTAGGCGTGTTTGCCTTCTTGAAGACCACAAAGGATTTGTTTTGAAAAATTAAACTAAAAGAAAGCAAAGACTAATAAAGAGAAGCAAAGTGGGGGTGGGGGGGGGAAACAGAAGCAGGTTCTGGAACTTCTAATCAACCTGTGATCATTTCCCTTTAAGATGTTGTCAGGGCCACTGTTTTGAGGAAGGTAGAAAATAAAGATGTTTCCAGGTAAGACTTTGTGCACTCTTTCCATGTTCCTGAAGTTCTCGTTTTCCTGTTCCACTTACATTTTCATTGTTATTTCTGTTGCCGCGACAACTCATGCACATATGAATATGCTAACAGATGCTGATGAGTATGCCTTATGTATCAATTCGTAAAAGCACTCCTGCCTCGCAGAATCATTTTAGGTGTATTTAAATACAACAGACTCTAGTGATAGTCATATGTTTATCTTTTTGGCCACCATTTTATACATGCAACACTTAATTTCCACCAGTAGCATCAGCGTCTTTATCACAGGAAGGATGGATTTCGTTACCCTAAATATTTTTAGGGAGAAGAAAAGTGGTCCATAACGCCAGAATGAACTTCAAGTAAGGTGTCAGCAATAGTTTTATCAGAATTTTTATTTTTAATTCAGGATATTGAGGGAGGTAAAAGAGCTATCTACCACTTTTCCTTGCTTGATGGGCAGGGAGCATCATTCAGGCTTTCTTTCATTTTGCAGTGGGGACAGGAGTTCCTCCGCGGGGATCCAGCTGGGTTCCCGCGCGCCTCCTCGGCCCCATCTGTTGGCTGTTGCTGCCCTCTGCTGGCCATGGCGAGGAAACGCTCTCACCGTATGGTTGTACACGTCTGGGGACATTGCTTAAAAAGTCTTTGTTTCAGCCCCTGTGTTCCACGCATTCTCCTCCTGTCATTTGTGTAACGGTCGTATTGTTTGACACTGGTCACTAGTGGCTGACACACTCACACACCTGTAATTGTCTCGTTGTGCCAGAAGCCCTGACATGCTGCGGTCGGAAGTTCCCTTTTCCGTGGGCGGGAGGCACTCGTCCACAGACTCCAACAAGGCCTCCAGCGGAGACCTCTCCCCTTATGACAACAACTCCCCCGTGCTGTCCGAGCGCTCCCTGCTGGCTATGCAAGAGGACGCGGGCCCAGGGGGTTCGGAGAAGCTTTACAAAGTGCCAGAGCAGTGTATGCTGGTGGGCTACTCGCCGTCGTCAAAGTCAAGGGAAAGTTCTCCCGGACCACGGCTTGGAAAAGGTAAAACCGGAGCCTGGCTGGCGCTGGCCACAGCAAGTGACTCTCCTCTTGTGGCATGTGGCATGGCGTGGGGCTCTTTGGACCTCGCTCCATCTCTCCCTTGTTTGATGTTTCTGTAATTCAGTGAGCATTTACTGAGTACCTGCTGAATACCTACTCTAGGAAGAGAAAGGTGTGGTGAACCTTGTCTAGGAGGGTCCCTGCAACCCACACACCGATTGTCATACATCTGGGAAGCAAGCACATGCCCAGAGGAGCCACCTGTAGTCCCAGCCGACTCTTGGCCTCCAACTTCTTAGGGACTTTATGAGTCCTGGCCGGTGGGTTCGGGTGTTAGTGTAAGGTGTTGCCCAATTACTGCTGTTACTTTTATAAAAACACGCAGAACCCATATAGCAAGACAGTGTGCCAGAACCAGATAGTGTTAGTGTCCGATGACAACAGCACTAGACTTGCAGTCACAAACCTGCTGTGCCGCTTTCAACCTGCAGGATCTCAAGGGAGTGACTGAGCTTTTGAGTCCCATTTCCCCGTGCTATGAAGACTAATAGTGGTAACAGTATTCAATTCATTGGGTTTAACTAATTCATCCATGGAAAGTCCTGAGCGCAGCACCCAGCGTGTGATAAGCACTCAGTGGCGCTACCTGCTGTGTCACCTTGTGTGCGTTTCTTACCTGCTCCTTATGCTGGAGCCACTGAACACACGGAGCCACCCACCGGGCCGGCCTGTGCTTCTGTGAATCGTGATTATGATCCCATCGCAGGACTGCGGTGAGGATAAATGGGATGACGAAGGAGCCTAACATAGTGCCTGACTCCATAGATATGTATGCACAAAGGGATTTATGAATGAACACAGGCAGGCTTGAATGTGTCAATACCAGTCGCAGATATTCCTGAGGGCAGCACCCAAATTGTAACTACGATTCCTCTATCTCTGGGTTAATGTGGTTAGAGGAAATCAGGCTGTGGCCACCCACCACCCTTGTATTAGTTGCCTGCTGCTGCTGTAACAAATTGCCACGAACTTAGTGACATGAGTTTGTTCTCCTACAGTTCTGGAGGTTGGAAGCCTAAAATGAGCCCACAGGGCTACCTTCCACTCTGGAGGTTCTAGGGAACACCTGCTTTCTCGCCTTTTCCAGCTTCTAGAGGTGGCTGCATTCCTCGTCTCGTGGCCCCTTCCTTCTTCTTTAAAGTCAGCACAGATCAGCCTCTTCTCTCCTGCCTAGGAGAGAAGGACCCATGTGATTGTTTTGGGCCCACCCAGATAATCCAGGAAAATCTCCCATCTCAAGAACCATAATTTAATCACATCTGCAAAGTCCCTTTTGAATATAAGATAACATCTTTATAGGTTCTGGGGTTTCTGATGCAGCCGTCTTTGGGGGGCCCTTATTCTGTCTACCGCAGCCATGATACAGAAAGAGCCTTTTTGTAAATCCCACGTGGAATAAGCCTCCTGATAGGCAGGTCTGAAGTGTATTCTGGTTTGTATCCAACACAATCGCAAATGTAGTACTTTGCACAGTAGCGATGTTATAAATATATATATTGACTTTTGTCCTTAAATTTTCATTTTGTGTTACGTGCCTTCTTATACACTTTTCCCTAGATATGTCGGAGGAGCCTTTCAATATCTGGGGAACTTGGCATTCGACATTAAAAAGTGGATCCAAAGACCCAGGAATGACAGGTGAAGTATTATGTAAACTGTATTGCATTTACTTTTCAAAGTAATTTTCTTTAATTTTTGCCTTACTATTATTATATTACATGCTTGTCAAATATTATTTGGGAAATGCTCAAAATGGGGGTGGGGGTGGGAGGATAAAACTATCCTTAGGCTTTCCGCCCAAATTTGCCAATCTTTCACTGTATTTCATTCCATTTCATTTGCAAAAGTTTTCAGACATAGTAACGATCATTCTGTCTGTGCAATTTTGTATTATTTTTTAACTTCCATTTTCCAGTCTTTTCCATCATCCATTTTAAGGGCACGTGTATTCCACAAAGTGCATATTCGTGGTTTACAACCCAAGGCGTAAGCAACTAAGTTGTTTCAATTTTGTTGTTGTTGTAGTAAGTTGTGCTGTCAGGAGCCTTTTATGTATTTTTAAAGAATTTTGAAATGATTAATATATTCACAAAATTTTGGAAAGCAAGTCAAAATTTATAAATCCCAAGCAGGAAAGTGGGTCAAATATTATCAACCTCTCTAAGAACCCAGAGGTACGGTCGCGTCGCCCTCCGTGTGGGGTGCGCTAGCCTGTGTTCTGTGACATTGAGGTGGCAGGGCACTTCGCGTGGCTGTTTCACCTTAATCTCATGGCTATTGCAAATGACTGGGTTTTCACTTTTGCTAATTTAAAAAAACAAAATTGTATTTATTCATGTAACTTGCTTTTATTTCTCACCAGTATTTTTATTTGTCTATTAATTAGCTGAATTTCCCCCATTGAATTCTCATTTATGGCATTGGCTATTTATGTATGCTAGTGTTTTTAAAATTGATTCTCATGAACTCTTTATAGAATAAAGATGTTAACTCTTTTTCCAGATTGTTTGCCATTGATACTAACCCTTGCATTTTTTTTTTTTTTCTGCTTTAGATATCTGGAAGTTCTTATTTTATTTTATTTTTATTTTTTACATAATTAATTCTACTACTCTCTCTTTTTTGTGAATTCTATCACAAAATTAATCTTTAGTTAAGCGTTGGATAGTTAGTCATCGGTATGCTTTCCAATGTTATTTCATTGTTTTAGCCCTTAATTCTTTAATCCATCTGGAATATATGCTGATGTATGGTATGAAGTGTGTAAATTATTTGCTTTATTGTTCCAAAATACATATATACGCTCCCCTTCTTGTGGTTTTGCAATACCTCCCATATTACATTTTAAAAGCACAGTGAATTTTAAAATTTAATCCAGCTGACTTTAGTACTAATTCATTATCTAACTATATGTCATTGTATCCTGTGAAGTGCTTTCCTGCCTTTTTCCCCAAGGAGAAACTCTTCCAAGATGCTCTGCTCCATTTTCCTTCTGCTGTTTCGACTCTCCTCTGTCTCTGTGTAAATGCTCGGACTCCCCCACCCCGCCCCCAGTATGGTCTTCTTCTCTTTCCCTGCCTACGTTTTAAGACTTTGGGGGGCATAGCCATAGGAAAATGGCAGCTCGGGGACATATGCACCGAGAACTCATTTGCCTTGTGAAATGCACTGTTTTTTCTTTCCCTTTAATTTCCTAAAGCGAGTTGTATCAGTTAGGGAAAAGTAAGTGCTGTAACAAACACCCCCGAAATGTCAGTGGCTTAAGCTATGACAGGTGAATTTCTCCCTGACATCACAGTCCAGTGTGGATTTTGCACGGCGAGGAGGGTGAGTCGGGTAGGAGAGGGAATGCTCTGTTCCACGCAGTCACCCAGGCTCCAGCTAACCTTTGGCTCCACCGTCCTCACAGGCTTTGGAGGCTTCCAGGTTTCACCATACTGGGCTGGTTTTGAGGGAAGGGAGAAAGAGGAGGAGGTAGGAGTGCATTTGTTCTGCTTTTTTATTAGAGCAGGTGTAGAAATGGCTCACATCAGATGTCTCCACGTTCATTGGCCAGACCTAGTTTCTGTGGCCCTCCTAACTGCAAGAGAGGCTGGGAAATGCCATCCATGGAAGGAAACGGGAATGATTTGGTGACCGAGCCAGTCTCTCCCACAATGGTGGTTGGAGAATATACATAGCGGCTGCTGTATTCATTACCTTCAGGCATCGAATGGGGGTGTTTTAGATTCAATTCACTTATTCCTACAGCTTTTATTGACGTGCTAGAAACACGAAGACAGAATGTGTATCTCGACCGGATTGCAAGTTGCATTGAGCAAGAAGTATGCTACTTTCATCTTCTGAGTTCCAAAAAGTTTTCATAGCCGTGTAGAGGGGACCTTTCCTGAAACAAAAATTGGTGACAAGGCTATTTAGTCCAGCTCCACAGCTCAGCCAACTTAGAGTCTAGGCGCATGTGTTTGGAGTCGCCACTGAATTGTGCGAATAATTAAAAAGTAGTCTTTTTTTTTTTTTTTTTTTTTCTGGGAAGTGTTTGTGTTTTTTCGGCAGCGGCAGCTGAGAGTGTGCTGTGCTTTTTCAGTTTTAGAAGTCCGCAGTGGCAGTATTGGTCTGGCCATCACATGTTGGGCACCAGTGGTGACTCCATGAATATTCATAACCAAATTTTTTTTTTTTTAAGTCGGCAGTGGGAAGAAAATAACGGGACTCTAACCCCCCACGGGGACTCCCTGCGGACTAACTCCACTTCTCGCTTCTCTGCCTTCCAGGTTCCTATGGCGACATTTTTGAAAGCAGCTCCCTAAGGCCGGGGCCCTGCTCCCTTTCCCAAGGGAACTTGTCCCCGCACTCGCCTCGGTGGCAGCGGAACCTCGCAGAGCTGGACGGCGGCGCGCAGGCCCCTCGGAGGACACAGACGGCGACGGAGCGCGGGGCGCACGCGCCCGTGTCGCGCGTCGGCTGCACGCCCCACGGCCAGGGCGTCGCCAGCACCGGGCGACCGGCGGCCGGGGCGG